TGACTCCAGCCAACAGAAAAGAGTTCTAATTTAGCTAATATTTTGGAGAAATTGCTTAGACAAAAATAAGTACTGTGCCACTCAGTGCAAAATATACTGCGGGTTCATACCCTTAGCGTGACTAAATACTGAGACCAGTTTCTGCAGTCTTCCACGGCAGTCCATCATGTTACTTTATAGAAATATGTGTACACGTCCCTTGCTTCTTTTCCTGTTCTCTCCAGTTTTCCTGCCGAGATTGTCATTTCCACCCACTGCATTATTTAGACTTTTACACTCTAGGTAAAGCTCAGCACACTTTGGTTTAAGGTAAATATTCAAATGCAGTGTGCTAACCCTGTGAAGTAAGAGCAGTGTGTCAAGATCCCTCAGGGTGGATGAGCCTAGGGCACTGGGAGAGGAATTTATCAAGTGATGGACCAAGTAAGCTTAGTAGAACCCTCATGGTGGGGCCCAGGTTAACAAAGGAGTTGAGTTAGCACATGGTTGAAGTAGCCTAACCGTCGGTCATCTCATGTCCCTTGGCTTCGTTTCCAAGGCAGAAAGCCCTCTCTGAGCGGAGCCATGAGCCGCTTCCTGAACGTGTTACAGAGCTGGCTGGTCATGGTGGCCATCATAGCCGCGGGAAACACGCTGCAGAGCTTCCGAGACCACGCCTTCCTCCACGAGAAGCTCTACACCGGCCAGCTAGGCCTCGGTGAGAAGTCCAAGAACTGCCGCCTTTGTGGGGTGGCCTGAATCGTGGTTCCCAGACCCAGGTGGACATCAGAATAACCTAGAAAACTTAGAAACAAACAAGGCACAGGTGCCCGTTTCCCTCTCCAAACCCATTTCCTGAACCTTTGACCTGCTGGGTGAGGCCCTGGGATCTATTTTGTTTTTAAATATTTTATTTTTCCTTTTTCTCCCCAAAGGCCCCCGGTACATAGTTGTATATTTTTAGCTGTGGGTCATTCTAGTTGTGGCATGTGGGATGCCGCCTCAGCATGGCTTGATGAGCGGTGCCATGTCCGCGCCCAGGATCTGAACCGGGGAAACCCTGGGCCGCTAAAGCGGAGCACGCGAACTTAACCACTCGGCCACGGGGCGCCCCACCTCAGTTCTGTTTTTTAAAAACTTCCCAGGTGATTCTGATGCTGCCTAATCCAGCCTTTGGCAGCCTCTGGAATGGACTGTGGAGAGCACTTGGCCCCTTTTCCCCAAGCTTCTCTGAATCCCTTTTCATTCATTTCACACTGCCCTGGGCAGTTAGTCTGTACAGAAGGCAGTACGAGGACAAGTGAGGAAACAGAGGTACTCGGGGACTGTGCGAGGCCCCACTGGAAAGCCATGAGGAAGCTCTGCACGTTAGCCAGCTCTCTTCAGAACCAGGTCATGGACACGGGGTTATAGTCCACGTTGCAGACGGAGAGTTACTAACCCAAGGCCTTCCCAAACCGTGACCTAGTCCTGAGGAGGAATCCAAATCCTCCAGTGGGCCTTCCAGAACGACACTCCAGAAGGCCCACAGTGGCCTTTGCCAGCCTCCTGGGCCTCTCCACTGAGGGTGTCTTCACGGTTCAGCTCTGCTCCCCTGCGTGGCTGCGGGGGGTTGTTTGAGCTGCAGCACCATCCACACGGCTCACAAGTCCCTGTCACATTTATAGCTAACCCACATTCAGGCTCTGACCTAGCTCACCTTCTGTGTATAAAATGAAACTAAGCAGGCTACGGCTCATTTTGAACAAAGCTCAGAGACAATAGGAGTAAAGAACCTGGAAACCTGGGCAACACAATTCCACTTTTTCACCCTCAAACGCTGCCCTCGGGCGGTCCAGGACCCCCATATGGATTCACAGAATTTTAAGGGTTATCTGCTCTAGCCCTTTGAAGTCAGGATGACACAGAATAGCCCAGGGGTCATGTGACTTGCTGAAGGGCATGGAGCTGAGCCAAACAACTGTGTGTATGTGTCTGTCAGTCTGTCTCCAGCCCAGAAGTAGAGTCTGCCTCCTCCCTTGTGACCTGGAGGCCGGCAAGGTACTCTGCTGGTCACAGCCAGGCTCTGGAGCTTCACGTAGAAATTTCACCTGATGCCTCATCTGGTTAGAGTTGGCAAAATATTCCACTTTTATATCTCACTAAGTAGAGAAATTTCCTCAATCTTTTCATCAGAAAAGCCATCAAATTGGTTTATAAAGAATGTACCCCTCCAGAGCTAACCGCTAGATACTTGGTTGGCATATGGAATTCTTTCTCACATTACTACCATCTAAGGGTTCAGCGTTGGGAAATTGGTGTCACTGTCTAGTTTTCCAAAGGCTGGAAAACCCTTAGAACCCAAGAAAACATTAATAGGCCTTTCAGTTTTTGGTCTTGTCCCCTGGAATTTCCCTTGCTTGACAGACCAGCACAGGAAGTACCTTTGCTTTCACTGTGTTGGCATTGCCAACCCCTGGATGACTGAGATCAACAGCTGTATGTTACAATCACCCAGGGAAGGAGATTTCAGAAAATACTTATGCCCAGGGCCCACCTCCAGAGTATGAGTTAACTGCTCTGATACCCAGGTCTTGGTAATTTAAGGAACTTCTTCAGTTGATTCTAATAAATGCCCAGGATCGAGGACCACTGTTCTGGTGGTGTATGATCCGTACTTTCAGGACAACATATCTGACACAGCAGTGTCACAACGAAGCCACCAAGAGCCGCGTGCCCTCAGAAAACGCCAGAGAAGCAGTGCTTTGTTCCACTACCACGTGCACAGGAAACCAGCCTGGTTTGGGCTCCGTCAGATAACATAGATCTGGATTCAGGGGAAGACCCAGGGACTGAGGCCTCTTGAAGACCAGATGTGGGCATCTAGATAGATCCCAGTATTTCTGAGTTCTCTCCTACCTCGGCCTTGAGAAGTCTACTGACCCCCTAGGCCTCCTCTGCTGACAGACACTCTGCAGCATTGCTCCAAACCTGTCCTCATCCAGACTCGCTGGGCGTTGTCAACACCAGAGGGGCTTCTAGGACAGAGGTGGAAACTGCTACATCCAGGAGTTACTGCCTACGTGGGCAGATTCACAACTGAACAGTCAGCACCGGTTCTTGTTTTCTTCCTAAGGAAGGAATGGATGCTTGAGAAGGCAGAGGCAGAAAACACAACGAGCAGCAGAGAAGACACAGCTGCATGACCCTGAAAGGTGGGCACTGCCCTCCAAGGACAGCCCACTGGATTGGCAGGTGCCCCAGACACAACCCTGGGAGCTCCCACGGGCTGGGTGCTCCCACACAGCGTGTAGACGTGAGAGCCCATTCACTGTCTCAGCAAGCAGCTATCAAACACTTGCTCCATGCCAGACACACAGGAAAGAGAAATGGACAACCCAGGCAATGTCCCTGCCCGCGTGGCCCTTACATTGTGGTCAAGGAAACGTGAAAAACAAGCCAACATGTCCGAGCACAACTTCTGGCAGTGATAAGAACTCTAGAAAAAAAGGAATTGTGATCAAGAAGGGGAGGAGGTATAACTTAGATCATCAGGAAAGGCCTCCCTGAGGAGATGGGGTTTGAGTTGAGACTTGAATGCCCAGACCTCAGGTGTCTTCAGATATGAGATAGGCATTTAGGGCAGAGGGAGCAGCATCTGCAATGTAGGAGCAGTCTGTTCAAGGAGTAGGATCAGTGTAACTACAATATGGCGAAGTTAGAAGTAGAAGGTAGGAGATGGGTCAGAAAGACAGGCAGGAGATTTGTAAGGGACCATAGGAAGCTTGACGTTGGAACTTGAATGTATTGGGAACTCTGCATCAGTTAAGGCTCTTTAGGTGAAAGGAACAAAATCTACCTTAAACCAGCTTAAACAATAAAGATAACATTGGCTCACAAAACTGAAAAGAGGATATAGGCTTCAGGGATGGTTTGATCGAGACTCAGCTCTATTTCTCTGCATTTCTTTCAGCTCTGCCCTCCTGTGTTGGCTTCGTCCTCAGGCTGGCTTCCTTTATGGTGCCAAAAGTGGTGCAGCAATTCCAGGCTCACATCCCCACAATAGCACATCTAGAAGAGTAGCTCAGTGATAAGGACTATCTTTCCCTTACTCACCAGCAATGGTATGGAGTAAGAAAGAAAAAGAGTTAGTAAGAAAAGCAATGATCTTACAGAGTTAACCTCTGAGTAGAGACCCCATGGAGCCCACCTAAGAAAGAGTGAATGAAAGCCTATGATGGTTTGGATCCTCTAGGCATGCATCATAGAAGTGTGATTCCCGATAAATAAAGACAAGATCCCAAAGGATCTAAAGAGAGGACGTAGAGTATCTAGCAGACACTATGACTATTAGATTTCTCTTACAGCCCAGGCTTGGCTCCTTTCCCAGATGATTTTAAGGAGAATCGTAATGTTGTCTCTCTCCAGCTAAGAACTGCTAACAGAGCTGGTGCCAGAACGCCCCAGGCACAGAGCACCTCTCTAGGGAAGAAATGTACAGAAAACCGACGGCAGCAGCATATCCAAGTAACAGCCATAAGGTGAACGCGACTGGGAGGGAGAGTGACAGTAAGTAGGACAGCTTAGGAGAAAAACGGTGACGGAGCTGCAGGCACTGAGACTGCGGACTCCGGCCAGAGCAGACTGGTGCCAGGCTGGGGTGACTGTAGAACAAACACCTCGGCCACCCTCTGAAGCAGAGGCACAAACGACAGTGGGCCCTCTCGGCAGCCATGCTCGGTGAACTGTCTTGATGTTTGCACAGCACAGAACGTGGTCAGGGTCATGTGATGGGCGCTGAGGCGCAGCCCCCCGGAGGTCAACAGTAACCTTTACAGCCTTGTGTGTAAAAGATAACCCAGGTTTCCAGGATGGTAACATGGATGTAAACAGGGCCACTTCTGTGGAAGGCCAAGGAGCTGCCCCTCCAGCTCTGACCCCTCATTCCTGCAGCCCTTTCCCATACCTTTGTCTTCGAAATGTGCCAGAGTCCTGTGGGGACTGCCAAACGCCATCTCTGCCCCCATAAACGACAAAGCAGGCCACGTGAAGAATCTTTTATTGCCCTAAAACATCTGGTATTATGAATAGAAAATACAAACTGTTCTTAAAATAAAGCAATGGACTCAGTAAACATTTGGTTACCACATTTTAAGGGGCTGAAGAGGAAAGACCTTTCTCCTTATCGCAAAGTAAGGTCCACCTTCTCTCCACCTCCTTTCCACCCCTAACACTCCCCCCATCAGAAATGAACTTTTATTCCAACAGAGAGTCTGTACACATACACCTCAGGCTCCCCTCAGGCAGCGGCCGAAGCAGCCCAGCACGGCAGACAGCGCATGCTGCCCCGACATGCTGCGGCCAGGGCCGTGGCCACAGCAGATCAGCGTGGTAGTCAAGATCACAGCTGCGCCACGCACAGGAGAAATGCAAAATATCTTATTTTCAGGAAAGGCGACCCAAGCCCATGAGTAGTGCCAGATAGCAGGCTAGGCAGAAGAGGAGGTCAGCTTGAGATGGTTCAAAGGGAATCCCTTTAAATTGAGAGCATCTGATAAAGAGTGTTGCTCGAGGGGGTGGGTCCAGATACTGTCCCCACCAGAGGTGAGATACACTTAATTCAGGCAGAAAATACCCACATCAAGGGCCTCCTTCCTTCTGCTCTTTCCTCTCATCTCAGAAGCAGCTTTGGGCTTTTGGGCTGGAATGAATCAAGATTACTTTTCAGCAAGCTTGCGGGCAGTCGGCTGGGATTTCCCTCCCTCCAGAGAAAACAAGCACTTAAGCCAATGACCGAGTTTCTCAAGCCAACATCCAGATGAAGGCGCCAGAGGTGACTGACACACACGGAAGTCCCTGGGCAAGGACTTCTCTTTAGAAAGAACCTTCCCGTCCCCAAATCAAGTACCAAAGTTCCCAAATCTGGGCCTTGACAGATGCTCAGAAAGTGCCCAGCAGCCTCGCACACCTGGGCGGTAAACTTGGCCAAACCGCTTTCTCCTTCGTGGTCACAACAAAGCTTTTCTCAAGTTTATTGATGTTGGTTTGTTGGCTCTCAGGAAAGAGGGTTTGGAGACAGACCCCAAGGTCAGGCCCAGAGAATCGAGGCCCAGAGTGCCGATGGGTTTGCTCCGATGAAGGTGGTTCTGATGGCGCTGTCTCTCCCAGAGAACTCAGCAGTCAGTGAGGCCCCACGGATGACCCTCATCCAGAGAGCGGCCGCTCCCGAGAACTGGGCTTCGAAGGGTCTTAAGACACTAGAACAAGTTAACATCCTGAATGAGGTCTCCTCCTGTGATCATTTTACAGGCCTTCTCCATAAGGGAGGAGAGGAAGAGGGAAGGCAAACCCCAGCCAGGGCCGGCCCCCAGGTCCTGCACCAGCCTCTCCCGACACCAGCTCCCCTGACCCAAAGAGGGAGGGGCGGGGTCGAACCCGGACTTGGTGAAGGGTGCCATTTTCCCCGACTAGACCACACGAGCTCTTGCATGGGCTCCAGGAGGCACAGGCCCTGCCATCCAGGCCACAAGCATTCCAGCCGCTTCCCTCCAAAAGCTGCTCCAGTGAAGACGTCTGTGCTGGCAGTGAGCTGAGCTGACAGAAGTGGGGGGTGTTCGTGTTCCCTGAGTCGCCGCCACCTTCCTCTCTCAGAAATGCTCCTCAGACCAGTCACGGATGCTTTGCTGGTATGGCTCCTCCTCCCCTTGGAGCTTCTGTAAGGCAAAACAAGCAGGCAGCCCTTTGGGTGAAGAGACACAGGACTCCACCCCACCTGGAGAAACGCCTGTCAGTGACGCTGTAGCAGTGGGAAACACAAGAGTCAGAGGCCACTCCACGTCCCCAACAGTGAGCAAAGGGAAGGAGAAAACAGCCTCCAGCCCCTACCACAAGTGTGCTTCACACACACATACACACACACACACACCCCATCACAACGTCATCAAAGGAAAAACCATAAAGGCCAGCTTTCTGTGATGCCACCTCTGCCCACCATCCCACTTCGAGCGCCACTGTGCACGCTCTCTCCCTCCCCATGCTGACAGCCTGCAATTCACCGGGACTGAGCCTCAAGTAGCTGCCCAAAGTACCCGGCCCACAACTCCCTCAGAATTCCCGACTACCCCATCTGGAGGCAGCCCCCAGGATGAGGAGCACTGTTATAACGTGCATGGAATGGATGCGACAGAGACTTTAGAAAGGCAGGATGCCAGCTGCATATAAAAACTCAGTGGATGGAAACAGGTGTCTATACTCTGTGCACAGAGAAAAGGAGCTGGTAGTTGGCTCTCGCTTTCTCAGGGAGGAGGGCACAGGACTAGGAGAGTCTTCTGGGTCACACTTGTTAGGTGGGCTTGGAATTAAATTTGGTCTGGAAATCATCCTGTGGGGCCCCTGGGTGCACACCGCCACCTTGGGCACTTGTCCGCTGGTTTAAGGAGCGCTTTGCTTCTTAGCTCAAGGGCTCGTCTAGTTCGCTCGAAGGCCTTGGGCCCAGGCACAGCACTGCATGGTCAACGGCACTCGGCTGGGGAGAGTGTGCAGGGCCAAGCTGCAGTGCAGGGCCGATCCTAAAGGTGGTGCTTCTGCCCCAGGGAGTCTCACCGGGCCAGTCCATGGCAGTGGCAACAGCTGTGCAATCCACCCTTCGCCTTCTCAGTCTTGCTAACTTGCCACCAGGTCCGCTTCAGCCATGAGAAGCCTTCGTTAGGCAACTAGCAGCCTACTTAAGTGGATCAGGCAGGCTCTCTCTGGCACACACACGCACACACACACCTGCCTCTGCCAGAGCCAGCAGCTTGAAATCACAACCAGAAGCCCAGGTTATTGGGGACAGAAGCACAGCCCCTGCCACTGTGGCTGAGAACCACCAAAATAGACACCAGAGATTTTCATAGTCGAGGTCAGTTGTTACACACCTCCCAGAAGTTCTGTCTCTTTTTACCAAAACTATACACATCACTCATTAGAAAGAGCAGCTCTGGCCAGATCTGCTGTGGGTTGTGTCTTCCCCTGGCCCTGATAATGAATCCGTGTGCTGGGGCACAGGTCTCGCTTACACTCACTGCGACGGGGTGTGTAATGATGGACTCCGGAGGAGGCCTGCTCTGTGACAGCCCTGGCTTCCCTGGGTGTCAGCTCAGCAGGACTCTGACCTCCCCCTAACACTAAGCTGGCCCAGATGCAAGTGAGGGACAGAGACGCGTAGTGAGTTATCGAGGGACACCAGCACCAGACTGAAGTCTCCTCCTCCTACTCAGTGCTCTTTCCAGTACTCCACACAGAAGGTGACTGAGCCAACACCTCCAACCTTGATTAACCACGCCATCCACGTGCACAAGGATCTGGCTGCAAGAATAGTGAAATAGTGGAACAACCTGAACATTCAACAAGACGAAATGGAAATACATATATGTCGATATGAGGCTGTAAAATGTCATGGTGTGCAAAGGTTGTAAGCTATATTAAGTAAACAAGCAGGGCAGAAAACCAAATGTGCACAAGCATACGCATAGAAACGTTACTAGGTTATCTCTGGGTGCAAGGATTGTAGGTGACCTTTACATTCTTGTCTGACTATATCTGACAACGTAAACAGAGATTGTAAGTAAACATAGCAGAATCCCACATCACTTGACACAATATGTCACATTCCACATTGAGACGTTTTCACAAGAAATCTATCCTGGTTTAGTACAGGCACCTTTTCCCAGTCTCACCATATAGCCACCAAAGTGTTCCAGATCATTAGGTTTCCTTGTCCACGGCACAGGGAGAGCCGTCTCCACAGTGCTGACGCCGGGCCCCTCCCCATCTAGAGAATAGCATTTCTGCTCCAAGGCTTTCCCTGTCTCCCCACTGAGTTTCCTGCCCTAGGCTCCTCCTCCCACAGGCTACCTGCCACTGCCTGCCAGCTCTGGAGCGTGAGATCAGAAGACAGATAGTAGAGAACTAAGGTCATCATCTGTCTGCCAACGCATATCCTTAAAACGCTAAACGTACCTCTTTCAGATACCATTTTTTCCCTGAGAAAATTGGCAAAGACTTTTCAAAATGATAAATCCTCAGTGTTGGCACTCATTCACCACTACAGCAACGTGAATGGGTAGTGCCGATGGTAGCTTTCTAGAGGACAGATTAGCAATACATTTCAAAGTCCTAAAAATGTGCTTGACCACTGATCCATTTCTCAAGGAAATACTGTGCTTAAGAACATGCACAAGGATTCAGCTTCCAGGACATTAATCACAATATTATTTATAACAGCAACTGGAAACAACCTTAATGTCACAGACAGGAAAACTGTTAGACAAATCATGGTTTATCCAAGTGCAGTCATTAAAAGTATGTTGTGAAAGACTAATGATCCGATAAAGTGTTCACAACACATGAAAAAGCAGATACAGGAAGATTCCATTTTTGTTTAAAAAACATACATATATATCCATCTATATGTATATATATTATACGTGGATATAGACATGTACAGTAAATGTTAAAAAACAGCATCTCATCTCTAGATGATGGTATTACAGGGTGATTTTTAAATTTTGTACACTTTTTTGTATCTTTTCCTTTTTCTACAAAGAATGCGTATTATCTCTGTAACAGGTTTCAGTGTTTTGTTTGTTTTGTAAGAAATATCCCAGTTTTACTCCTCAGATTTGATATTCCTTTCATCCTGGCTCAGATTTGATACCTAACATTTTGGTTAAAACAGTTCCCAGCAAATTTGAGCAGATGGGAAACACTTCTCTGTTCTAGATCATGCTCCTGGTCCTCTCCCCTTCCACCACCATCAGCTCCTGCTTCCTGAACTGTCCTTTTAAAGCCCTACTGGCAATCCATTGGCTCCAGTCCCCCCATCCCCATCCCACTGCGTAAGGAGCTGTCATCTGCCAGGAGAGCCACTGCCTTGGTGCCACCACCACCCTGACAGAATGGTCAAGCCTGGCTGCCACCTCTCCTCTCCAGCCACGGACCCCAGGCTGAAAGCAGTGGAGCCAGGGCCTCAGGGCTTATCTCAGGATGAGGGGTGGATGCTACTCAGCAGACTGTGACAATAGTGATGTCCTCTGGGGACCAGAGCAGGGAGGCCAGGAGAAGGGCAGGAAGTGGGAAAAGAGCCTGGAAAAGAGCAGCAGGAAAGCAGTGCTGAAACACCCACTGAGCAAACTCTGGGCGCCATGTTTGTGAGAGTTGAGATGGTCTCACAGCCACCATAAAACCAGTCCATTCTGGGAGCTCCGCCGGCCCCCACCAAAGCAACCACATCCTCAGCAAAGCCAAGAACTCAGAACTCTTCCCAGCAAGCTCCCACATACTCACATTGTCAGGAGTTTCTTTGTTTGCTTTCAGTCTCCGGAGATCTCCCTTAATGAACGCTGAGGTGGAGGGGTCGAGAAGGAAGAGCAACAGAGAAACACAGTTATCAAGCCAACCAATGGTCAACTTCATCCAAGAGGGAGCCCTCATTTTCCCTATGGTCACAGGTATCCCAGACCTGCTTCAGATATTCCAGGGAGCTGGGGGTCCCATCAGCCAACTTGATAAAGCCTGGGGGTCACTGCTGTCCCTGACAGGCAGAAGCCAATAATGACACTGACCTTTGTTTATAAATCACATATTTGCCAAAGACTTGGCACACATAGCTCTAATCCTCACAAAAATCCCCATTTTACAGATGAAGAAAGTGAGGCTCCCAGAAGTTCGTTTGCTTGACCAAGGTCAAACAGCTATGGAGCTCAGAGTCACAGTCCAGAATTCAAATGAGGGTCTTTTGGCACCAAAGCCCATACTCATTCCATCAATACATGCTACTGCCTCCCAAACAGATTCCCTAAGAAGCCCCCTCAACCCCCTGCATGTGTACCCCCAATCTGTGTGACCAATCAAGACGCTGGGGTCCCAAACTGCCAACAGCATAAGCCCATGGGCAGGATGAGCAGCATCTTGTCCTGAGGCCCTGACTCACCAGTGAGGACTACTCCAAGGGTGAGGAACACACATAGAAAGATGTTTCCAGGCATGGTCCCATAGTTGTCGATAATCTGGCCCTGGGAGATGGTGAAGATGATCCCGAATACCTGGAAAGGCATAAAAAAGAGTGGAAATAAGGGCCCAGCCAACTAGCCCATGGAGGAACTCAGCTCCCACAATGCAATGCCTGCACCAGCCAAGCGAGGCAGTGAACCAAGAGCCACTGCTTTGGGCCACCACCAAATAAGACCCGTACCTGTGGGCACACGTTGAGGAGGCCAGCTGACAAGGCTTCTGGTTCTGGGTACGTCAGCTCCACAGCAAACTCAAATCCCAGTGGGATATAGCCAGTCATAAAGAAGCTGAAGGCCAGATCACAGAAACAAGGTGATGGAAATGTTCAGGCAAAGCAGGATGGGCAGCCTGCCTCCTCCCTTAGAACTCCTTTTTCTGTTTGTTTCTTCCCATCAAGACATGCCTTGAACAGATCAGGCCATCCCCCAGGTGGCCATACCAAGTAAGAGAGACCCCTGGAGGCCAGGAGGAAGTTCATATGGAGGCTTTGTGCTCAGGGGGCCTCTAGGGGTCCCCTGCTTCTTCTCTGTCTAGCCATCAATTACAGGCAGAGTCAGCATTTACAGAAGGGCTGGGGATGCCTGGAGTGTTCAGTCCTCAGCTAAGAAATTCTGTGTCCTGGGTACACAGGCCCGATGCTGGGAATGGGAAGTTCCTGGATATTGAACAGCTTCTCCATGGCCCTCAGAGACCTGGAATGAGGAGCTCAGAGTCCTCCTTATTTCCCTCCACGGAGCTGCTAGCTGAGAAGGACTCAGTGTCTGTCTGTCGTCTCTCTCTCTGAATCTCTCCTTCTCACACACACACAAACATACATACTCATGAACTGCCTATAGGAAAATGATGGGAGGTAAAGCTGAGCAGGCCCCTCTTCAGGCAGGCCACTCATCATTTACAGATGAGGAAACGGAGGCCCACAGTGGTTAAGTGATGGGCCTGTGCTCTAATAGATAGTCAGCAACACAGCTGACACCAGGACCCAGACTTTCTGATGCTCAGCTCTGTGTACTTTCTGTGACCCCATGTTGTCCCAGGCAGAACTGAAGAAGCCTCTGAACATGTCCTAGCCTCCCAGATGTCTGTGAAGGACACACTCCATTCCACAGCAGGGATGGGCCTGGGAGCCCGAGGTGACCTTTTGAAGTGCTGCAAGTAAACAAGACATCTGGGCACCATTTCCACACCCCCAGAGGTGAGTGAGAAGGCAGCAAAGGGATCAATATTGCTTCCTAGGATGTCACCAGCTTGAGGAGCCATGGGATGGTGCTTTCCAGGTAAACAGCTTAGAGGTGAAACTTACCCCATTGTGCCAGCGGTGATGAACACTACCCACAGGTGTCCCAGATCCAAGGTGAATGTGTACACCACCATGCCCACCAGAGTCATGATATAGACCACTAGGGTTGTCTTCCTACAAGCAAAGGCAAAGAGGTTGAGTCATACACTTCTGACTTTAACAGGATCATTCATTCATTCATTCTACAAGTATCTATTGGGCCCCTGCTGTGTGTCAAGCCGTCTGCTGTGTGCTGGGACATCTGCTCTCATAGAACTTTCTGTCAAAGAGATTGATGGACACTGAACCAATGATCACACAAATAATTCCTGAAGTACACTGTGGTCAGTGCTACAAAGGGTGAGACCAGGAAGCATGAAGCCGTCTGCTGCATGTGTGTCCTCCTGCAGAACCCTCTCAATGACATCAAGCAGCACCTTGACTCGTCCTTCTACCCACAAGCAGTAAGGGTACAGCCCTTCCTTGCCACGTCCTGCACCAAAAAACCAAACAGGACCAACATGAGCTCTCGCCAGGTGGCAGTGGCGTGCAGAACTACCCCAGAAGCCATCTGATTCTGCTCGTCTGCTGTCCCCATGACCCCATGACAATGCTGGGCAGTGTCATTAGGTTCTCTCTGTCTTCTCTAAGTTCTTCCTGTTGCCACGTGCACAGGTGCAGCACAGCTCTTCCTGCTGAGTCGGAACCACTCCGCTCCAGACAGCGGGACTGAGAGAGAACATTCTCCAGCCCTGAACTAGTGCTTGACTCCAAAGCAAAAGTGAGAAGGCTCTGCCCACTCCCTGTGACATCTCCCTGTGTCTGTCCCCTGGGAAGGACCATCAACAAAGTGCTGGTTTCAGTTTTGGCCTCACCCTGATTGTGCCCTCCACACGTGTCTCCTCCCGTGCTGTGCGCTCAGGACTCTGCTGGGCCCTGACTCTGCCGCGGGACCTGCGTTCCTCTCCCTGCCCCACTCACTGCAGGGCCCGGCTCTGCACAGCCCTCCGCCCTCCCGCCTCGCACATCAGGACTCCAACAACGAAAGCTGACGGCCTTCACTGGTCTCCGCTGGAGCCAGAAACACGGCGGGGGTGCCACCAATGCGGGCTGAGGCTATGTCCTACTGATACTGCATTTATCGGATGCCAGGAATTCTGCGAAGCACTTCACAGGCATTTATTATTTCACTCAACCCTCACAAAAGCTGGGCAAGAAATGCATGACTATCCCTAGTTTTACAAATGAGGAAACTGAGGCTCAGCCAGTTAAGTTGTTTGCCCAAGACACCTGTTGAGTAAATGCAGAGCTGGGATTGGAACCCTGCACTCTTTCCGCCATGGCACCCAGGAAACCTAATGCACTGTGTGGTGGCATCTTTGGAAAAGCTTAAGGCCAGAGCCTCTGAAGGAGGCCCCTCCCACCCCGTGCTCAGAGCTGCTGAGGGTAGAGGAGCTTTCCCATCCCCCACCCTGCAGAATGCACCTTCATGGACACCAGGCTCTCTCGCTGACCCCACAAGCTGATGTTTGCCATATTTGTTTGGTCATAGCTTCAACTCAAAGCACCACCCATCTAGAAAAACTATGGGTAGTGCCAGCCTGAGATCAAGGGACCTGACACCCAATTTCCGGCCTCCAAACCAAACAGAACAAATCTGGGAGCCTTAGGGAGGGGGGAACTGTCACCGAAATGACCAGATCACAGAGCTCTCGCCTCCTTTCTCTGCCTGCATAGTAGTGCTGCCTGCAGGAGTGGGACATCAGGGGACACCAGGAACTGGTGACACTTAGGTTCTGAGGTGTCCTCCCCAGCCCTTCCATTGTAGTCTCCAGTTCGTCTGAATCACCTGGCTGCCCACGTCCCAGCCAAGCCAACATTCCAATCCCTCCCTTCTCCTGCCACAGGGCAAGCCCTGGAAAAAGGGACCCTGCTGTTCCCTGGCTTGGGGGTGGCCAGGCCTCATGGCTCTCGTGTCTGGCTGTGAGCAAGCAATTGACAGATGGCATAGACGAGACGGCAGCCAAGCGCCACCAGCAGTACTTAAGCCAAGCCAGGCTCCTTGTCGTGTTCAGCCAGGTGGCCACATCCCCAGGGATGGCCTCAATGGGCCTTTGACTAGGGTGGCCAGATTGAGACCTGGTCTGACCACAGCCTCACAGAAGCGGGTTTGTGTGGAGAGAACAGGTCTGCTACTGTCTGTCGCCCCCAGACACTGGGAACTTTGGAGGCCTTGACAAAGCAGCCCAGAGGACCACCGTGCCGCAGGGCAGGACAACCCTGACAGCTACCCTGCTGGCCAGCATTAATTGAGCACCCACTGCATGCAGGGCACCGGAAAGAAGCAACAAGAAGAGAAGGATGTCAGGCCTCTGTTTTCCAGAGCCTTTTCTCCAAGGCTGACTAGTGAATTCAGACCCTGGGATTGCTTTTTACAAATGCAGATTCTCCTACTGAACTGAAGTGGGCCCAGGAAGCTGTATTTCTAACAAGCATCCTGGATAGCCTGGCGTACACTAAAATCTCAGTGGGTGTTGGGCATTCAGGCCCAAAGCACATCACAACATTTACCAATGAGGTGTAAGCAACTGCAAGATAATACACTGCAAACTGGAGGAAGCACAGAGCATCTTTGCTGACCCATGGGGTCCAAGAGGGAGCCATGAGCACAGGGCAGTGGAGTCACCTCCCCACTCTGCTCTTTGGGGTTTCCACAAACTTCCCAACTGCTGCCATTTTTCCACATTCATTTTCGTTTCTCCCTCATCTGCACCTTCCACAAGCTACTTAGGGGCTGGGACTGGGGAAGGTGCTGTGCTTGGCCTCATGTCCTCCACCTCCAGTCTTCCTAAGATCCCCATGGGGCGGGTATTGTTTCCCTTATTTTATAAATGGGGAAACTGAGGCTCGGAGAAGATAAATTTCAGCTGCCTGCTTGACCACTCAAACCTTTAGAGCCGTGTTGCTAACGAATGTGTCACTTCAGAACATGGGTCCCCAGTTCACAGTCCAGGAGGAAGTCACTTACTTGTAGGTTTTGGTCTTATCCAGCCAGATGACTGGGATAACAGTCCCGAGCATTCCTGCAATGATGATGGTCAGGCCGATTCCTCCAACGTTCACTTCTTCCCCCTGGGAAACCACAGCCCCAGTGAGCACTCAGTGAGGGGACAAGACACTGGACAGGGCACAGTCACCATGGCCAAGGGGCAAAGGCAGGCAACTCAGGCTCCATTAGAGCCAGTTCTCAGAAAGTACCAGGAAGGTGGTCTGTAGGAAGCTGCAGTGGGGAGAGAGTCCTAGAATGGTTGTTCCTCCCAACATAACATACCCGGAGTGTGTGCGTGATGCTGGATGCTGGGGGACCCAATTCTGTCCTTGGAACAACTTTTGGGTAGATTTTTTAAAAAATTTAATCCCACAGCAACCCTTTGACTTCTCATTATTCCCATTTCACAGATGGGGAAACTAAAATATGTATATCCAAACATTCCATCCTTAGGTTTTGAGCTATCAGGGCCAAAGGAGGAGGAAGAGAACAGGTACACATTTTTGAGCGCTTATTATAAGGCAGACGCTGTGCTGAGGACTTTACACCATCATCTCATTAACTCTCATAATTCCCCACCATAAGGTTAGAAAACAATATTCCCCATTTTACTCATGAGGAAACTGAGGCACAGTGGGATTAACCTGCCAGCTCAAGGTCATGAGGCATTCATTAAGTACACAGCTGGGATTTGAACTCAAACCTGTCAAACGCCAACTCTGGAACGCTTAGCCACAGTGGCCACCACCTCCCAAAGTGGGAGACCCTCATCCTTTCAAAAGAGGGCTGAGCCCAGGATTCCTGACTCCAGGACACTCGGAATCCCACTCCCAGTGTCCAGCCCTCACTGATGCTGGAAACATTTAGAAAGTGTGTTCAGTTGATCAACTAAGAGCTCAAATTAAACCTTGCTAATATTTTACAGATTAAATATTTCCTATGTGATTCTATATGTCTATATGTTTACCTCATGTGTCACCAGGCACCGTGCTCTGTGCTTCACCTATAAATACTAGATATGAATACATATATATACACACACACGATATTATTTACCTTCTAATCCTACAAATAATCTTTCAGGAAGTAATTATACTTCTTTCACAGAAAAGAGAATGAGAGCCCAGAGAGGCTAACTAGCTTGTCACACAGGTTAGTACCACCAAAGCTGGGGTTGAAACCCAGGGCCACCTCCCTCCAAATCACATAAGCATACACCGCCATACCACACCGCCACGAACTATGGAGAACCAAGAATTAACTGCTGCCCCAGCTCTGGCCAAGACACACACAGAAGTCTCATTGCCACGGTGTAGCTTGCTTAGGGAACTCCCTTACCGGGTAGTGTAAGATCACCATGCGATTCAGCAGAGTGGACAGGGAATAAAAAGCACCAACATTCAGACCTAAGGAGGGAGGGAGAAACAGAGCATTAGGGTCAGCCTTCCACTGGGGCCATTGCTAACTTCTCCCCCGAGTACTCAGGGACGGTAGAAATGCTCATCCTCGTTGCCACGGTGAGTGGTGTCCTCAGAGAAGAAAAAGCCAGAGTGTATGAGGCTACCTGCAGTATTTCTCAAAGAAATACTCCAAAACAACCAAAAGTAACTGTTTGAAACTTTCCTTGGCTACAGACCATTGCCCTTGATCCCTTTAACTCTGCCCTGGAAACACAGGCTCTGGAAACTATGACTTCCAAGTCAGAACCGTCTACATTCCTCTTAAGTGTTGGCTAGGCCTATGGGGTCAGTGGAATTACTGGCACCTTCCACTTCCTCCTGATGACCTTTGCCCTCTCCAGACTGCTCCAGACCTCTGACCCCTGACACCACTCCCTCCACAGGTGGCTTCTCACCTCTTTCCCCATCCCAATTTCAACTTTCTTCTCAGATTCAATGTCACACAAAATCTTATATTTGAAACCAGAATGGACCTTAAAGAGCATTTAGTGGACTCTCCTAATTCATCGACTCATTCAACAAATAAATGGAGCACCTAGAATATGCTGTAAGAATCCATGTCCTTAGAGAATGAGGCCATTTGTCCAAAGTCATACAGTGAGTTAGTAACTAAGATCAGACTGGAACTGACCCTAAGGAGAAAGGGGCTCCGGCCCTCCCTTCATAATAACGGGGGTGGTGGTGATGATGATGATGATGATGATGATGATGATGATGATGGCAGCAGCACATACTTATGTACTAGACACTGTTCTAAGCACCTTACAAGCCTCATAACAACCCTAGATGGTAGGTAATAATATCATCCCCATTTTCTAGATGAGAAAAATGGTCACACAGTTTAAAAACAAATATAGAGGTCACTCAGAAATACCCACCAAGGGTCTTCCTAAATTTGGAGGCTCCCAAGACTACCACCGGCACACTTGACCTTAGAACCACTTAGACGGGTGGAAGGCAGCCCGTGGGCAGGGCAGCCTCAGGAGTTCCTCTTCAATGGAACCGGTCCATAGAGCCCCAGGCCACGGAGCCAGCCAGAAGCTATTCTCTTTGGCCCCCAGGGTGATGGCTCACGTGCACGGGAGGGAGATATGGCAACCCTGGTTCAACACCTCACAGGAGCTACTGTTGCTCGTAATGCCTCCGTGGCATAGTTTCCAGGGTCTCCAGCAGGGACTCACCCTGGAAGGCTACAATCCTTTTCAGTTGTTTCTACAGTCCAACCCTAGAGGAATTAGGAGCTTCTGTATGGTTTCTGAATCAATCTGTAATCTAGATATCCCTCCCATATTGTCAAAGTTCACCAGACATGGTTAAACAGCACAAATCCACCCCACTGCCCAAATCAGGGGGCTCGGCGTCCACACTGAAGGGCAGGAATTAACGCGTGCTCCACCCTGTGTGTGAGCCCCTCTCACAGGAAGACAGACCACTGTGTTGTATTCGGGTGTGACTGTCCCCAGCAAGGCAAGCCTGCCGGGTCAGGGCCGTACTCCTGGGAGAAAATGTGATTCCCCTGAAAGGCCTGGTCATCCTGGTATCCATCACCGGGAGAAGAGTCGGTCACTGAGGAGACAGGCTTTAGGAAGGTAGGAAGGACGTGTCATCACTCTGAGTTTCTCCCCTTTGTGAAGACCAGTCTGTTTAAACAGTGGCCCAGAGAACACTGGCATTAGAAGGATTTAGAGCTTAAAAATGCAGACACCTGGACTCCATCTACTAATCTGATTCTTCCGGAATGGGGCTAGGAATCTGCATTTTAAAAACAACAACAAAAAGCCTAGTTATTTATTAAACTCACTGGAGTTTGGAATAAATGGCCTTGGGAATATCAGGCAAGGCCCCTCAAGTGCTGGGGTTACCATGGAGGCAGCTGGGATGGAAGGGGCTTCAAGACCGTGAAGATGATCCATAACACACCTGCTTTAGAAGCTCTCAACCCCGCCGCCCACCAGAATCGCCTGGAATGCTTGTTAAAAGCTGATTCCCAGACCACAACTCAGACTTTCTGAATTTGAATTTGCAGGAGACACAGGGACATCTATGCACACATTCAGCCAAGCACCCCAGGGGGGTTCTGTCATCAGGAAGCTTGGGAAACACTGATCCCAGATCCTATCTCTGGGTCCTGGTTACTCCGTGTTCATTTCCCTTCCATCCTTCCTGAACTTGTAGTGAACTCTTGTTTCAAAGGGCCAGCCAGACCTCAGCAAAGCTCCAGGGAATCCAGAGGATTCTATACCCACTCTGAAGCCAGGATCTCAGAAGGGGCCCAAAGCCCCCTCCCTAGGCCCATGTGGGTGGGGCAGTGGGAAGGCCTTTGAGAGCCCCAAGGAAAGGTGTCCTCATGACTCCCGATGACCAACACTGGAAGACGATTCAGAAGCACAGCTGGAGGCAAGGCTGCGGGATGACATGGGAAAGTATTGCCTTTGAGGACATTCTCTAGAGGAGGTGACTTTTCAATGATTCTTTTCAACATGGCAGTTGTTACACCTCTGCTGACAAGACATAACGGAGGCCGTGGGGAAGCAAGACCTAGAGACACAAGGAGAAGGCAGCCAAAGAAAGGCTCTTTTCTTCACGGCGCCCCACTGCTCAGACACATCACAGGCTCTGCCCTCCCCCACCCTCTGGTAGACCCGAGGAGAATGTGGCTCCAGCCTGCATCTTCCTGCGTCACCAAACTTGGAGGAGGGGAGGTATTTTACTAGAGGAGGAGGCAGTTCCTTGTTCCTGTGATATTGCTGCAACATCCAGCACAAACCCAACCTCTGCACCTCCCCTCCAAGCTGGGCTGCCAGATTTAGGAAAAAATAAAAACAAACAGCACATCTGGATAAATTTAAATTTCAGATAAATGAATAATACTTTAGCATAAATATGCCCAATATTGTATGGGACACATTTATACTAAAAAGAATTTATTGTTTTCTCAAATTCAAATTTAGCTGGATGGCCCTTATTTTCTCTCTCAAACCTAACTCTCAGTGTGTGGCCAGAAGCCTATAGGGAAAAGCCAGCCACACGCAGAACCTGGAATTCCTCCGAAGCCTTGCTGTATCACTGCACCTCAGCTCTGGGCAGCTGACTCAGCAGCTTGGAGAAGCCACTACGAATGCAATACTGGACATCCCACCAGCTCAGTGAGACCTACTCCTTACTTGGTGAAATCTACTTCAGACCAACAAAAGAACCTAAGAAATCATCAGTTTTTCAACACAACAGCAAGGTGGATGCCCACAGTGTCTTTATTTGCAAGTGCTTTAAAAGCTTTCATTTCCATTCAGAGCACTCCTATGAGAACCAAATGTTATTACCATTTTCTCAGGGAAGGTAATTAGAGGATGGGCACAGGAGGGCTGAAGGTGGTATGCTCAGTGATTGGCAGGGCTAACACCAAAACTCAGACCTCCCACTCCTTATGTGCCAACTCTGAACTCACCGGTCCAGCATTCAAGTCTCTTGCTCCAAGATGTCCATTCCCATCCAGCAAATGTGCCTGTAAAATGCTATCATCTGCTTGATTCCCAGCTACAGGCTCTTAAGTGCACATAATTCAAAGGAAAATATGAACATCATATGCACAATATAAAAAGTATGAACCATTTCCCTCTTCGCAGCCTCATTGGAAACTATAGGGTTTGTTGGGGGATCTCTGTGGGGTTTCTCAGTCTCTTGCTGAATTTATAGAGGGTTTTTTGTTGTTGTTTTAATTTGGAGCAAAGACAGTGGGAGAAGAAAGTAGAGATTCTGAGGTGCACTGAGTGCCAGACACTGCTTTTACATGGTCTGTAAACCATAGAGAGAGACACACTAAGGCTGAGACCCCACCATCCCCAAATCCCAAAGATGGCTGGTCAATGTAGGTGGGTCCTGCTTCCAAAACCCTAGAACTCTTGACCTACAACTTAGAAGAAAGCAACCCCCTGCAACTGGTCTGGAGGACTGAATCTGAGGAAGGACATACTCCCCTAGGTTGACCCAAAGACCACTCAAGCAAGCACACTAAGAAAAGAGCGCCAACTGTGTCTCCAAGAGGCTCCCATCTGCATGGAAAGGCAAAAGGCGCAGTGGTCAGGAAGATGGGTTTGGCATCAGACAGACAGAGGTTTATATCCAAGCTCTGTTGCTCGCTAGCTGTCCAACTGTGGGCAAGGAACTAAACCAGAGCCTGCTTCCACAGGTATAAAATGCAATACAGTTAAGGACCTAAGTCCTGGGTCTGTTTTGAAGATTAAAAGAGATAACACATGTAAGCACTACACATGGTGCCTGACACATGATAATGGCTCAATAAAATGTTTTTCAAATCTATGATCAAGCTTTAGAATCATTTCCTTATAGGAAAGAGCCCTGTCACCAAGTCCAATTCTCTACCATGGAAATAAGGCTTGTGGTTTTCTGCAATGTGTCTAAACACCTAGGTTAGCTTAACTCCCTCTCACTGGGGTAATCCTAGGCCTTGGAGAAGAATGTTAAGAAATCCTATCTATACACAATAGAGTCAAATGCTTCCAGAGACTCAGAAGTGAACTGCTTTTCTAGTTTAGCACTATCTCAACTTAAACTATGTTTTACTTCCACCCCTTTGTCTTTCTCCTCTCCTTCTGGGACTCCCATTATGCATATGCTGTATGCTTGATGGTTTCCCACAGGTCTCTGAGGCTCTGCTTATTTTCTTCATTCTTTTTGTCTTTCTGTTCCTCACACAGGATAGTTTCATTCAACTTATCTTCAAGGTCACTGATTCTTTCTTCTGCCAGCTCAAATCTGATGGTGAGCCTTCTAGTGAATTTTTCATTTCAGTTACTGTGTTTTCAACTCCAGAATTTCGATTTGGTTCTTTTGTATTTCCATCTTTATTGATACTCTCCATTTGGTGTGACATCATTCTCTACTTTCGTTCATTCTCTAGACATGGTTTCCTTTAGCTCTTTGACTATATTTACAGCAGTTGATTTACAGTCTTTGTCTATTATGTCCAACGTCTGGGCTTCCTCAGGGACACTTTCTATCATGCGAGTATGGGCAATGCTTTCCTGTTTCTTTGCACGTCCCATAGTTTTGTGTTGAAAATGACATTTTAAATACTATGTCAACTCTGGAAATGAGATTCTCTTTCCTCCCCAGGATTTGTTGCTGTTGCTGCTATTTATTTTGTATTCAAATTTATCTTACCAAAAGCCAAGAAAATGAAATGAAAGAGGAATGTTGTTTGCATTCAGGTAAAAAAGGAGTCAATGTTACAAGCTGAAAGAGGATTGGTTGGGGAGTGGTTCATTTGGCAAGACTCATGTATGCATTCATTCCCTCACTCATTCAATGACTGGTGGAGTATCCACACCAGGCTGGGCACTGCTGAGGAACTACAATGATGAAAAGATGTAAACCTCTGCTCTCAGGGAGTTCACAGTCTAGTTGGAAGACAGAGCTGGAAACACTTTTTAAGAAATTCTAAGTGTTAAGACATACCAGGAACAGCATAATAAAAGAGGAAAGGTCACCTAATACTGCTTTATAGCAGTGACACTGAGATGAGACTTGATGGATGAGTATGCATTTGTCAGACAACCTGACATGGGAAAGAATGGTATTCTAGGTGAACTTTAAGAACATGCAAAGGGCCTGAGGCACAGCCAGCTCTTCTGGTTGACCCCAAACAATGATGTTTTATATACATTTCAGATTTGGAAAGAGTAAGACGCACAGACACATCAGGCCTCTTGTGCCATATTCCCTGTTCAAGGACACTCCTAGACACCTGCACCTTACCATAGGAGATGACGAGCAGCACAAAGTTGAGGTTTTTGAAGAGCCGGATGACAGAGGATAAAGCATCAGAGAACGTCAAGGCAGGGTTCTGGGACTGGGCTCTGTTGGGGGGATTGATAGGCTTCTCCTTGAATACTGTAAGGAAAGAGACAGAGAGATCACTTCAAATCCCTGTGGTCCCATCCCTGTGGAGCTGGCTCCCTCATCTGAGGAGGACCCCAGACTCCAAGAGGAAATAGTAATTCTTCAACTAGCTCCTTTACAGCCCCTCTCTTGAAGCTGCGTCTCTCTGTCTGTGGCTGACTAAGCAGTTCTTTGATTGCTTTTCCTTAATGGCCTCTGAATGGCTGCCATCACTGGGCCTCCCAGAGAATGTTCAAGGATCAAGGAGTCCCATAACAACCAGCAAAGAACACAGCACAGAGCCCTGAGAACATGCAGTAGAAACGTAAGGATGGAAAGGCAGTGAGGGCTGAGCTTTGGAATTAGTGAGCCCAGTTACTGGCTGAGCACCAGAGCTCCTCTCGAGGGGGAGGGACTGTGTTGCTCACGATTAGACAGAGCCTGGCACAGGGCAGCCGGTACATATTCCCTGAAGAAATGAAAGGAGCTTCTTCTACTGGAAAAACTCACCTCCTTTCCTAGTTTCTCAAAGTCTGAGTCAGACACCTGCTTCCCAAAGAGACAAGAGGATTAACACATGCTCCTGCAGGAGTAGCCACTCAGATACGAAGGACTGAGGGGGACACGGAAAACCATTCATTTTATATTCTATTTTCAGTGCAACTGGGACAATCCATTTGTGTGCACTGATTGTCATTCAGTTCTCTGGGGGGTAGATCCGTTTACCCAGTTGTTTGGCTAAAATGGTCCTCAAACTGTGTCAAAGCAAGTACCACATGGCCTCCTCCACACTCCATGAGAACACTCCTCAAAGGTCAGTAGGCTGTTTCCAGTAAGAGGAAGCTCTGGAAATGAGGTTTACTCTCTTGAAGATCATAGGGCGCCTCTCCCAGAAAACCCTCCAGCACTGACTTCAGAGCCTGCCTTCTTCCTTCTCTGGAAATAGCCCTGTATGACTTCCCACCATTGGGAACCCCTCATCCATTGTCTTGCCTGTTCACCTCCCCTTCCATCAGGGGAATCAAAGCAAGGCAAGAGGTTATTTATCTCTGCAACAGCAGGTGTTTGCTCAAGGACTTGGCAACCACAAAACAGAATTCAGATAAGATTTCTCAGTTCTTTCCTCAATGAGCTACTATCTGTGCTTGATAATAACATGCCAAAATGTAGCAGTGTCCTATCGCCCAGATTTCAGCTGCAAAGGACCAGGCCCTCACCAGCTACAAACATGAGAATTTGCAGGTGGGAACATCATAGTTTGAAACTTAAAGTCTGGCTGAGTGAGGGTCCCTGGCCGGATTGTTCTTTCCTGCTCTCATCCATGGCTCCACAGCTTCTCAGCCTTCCAGGACACCAAGTCCTCTGTCCAAGATATCTGCCAGCCTTGGGCCATCAGACAGCCCTTCCTCAGCTTGGACACTGGGGAAGGAAGGACACAGTGAAAACAGTGGAATGAGGTACAGATTGTAAAACTGACTCTGGAGGTGAGGCCACTAGGAAGGACCGACACCTTTAACGTGGGTGGTGGAACTATCAGATGTTAGGAGGAAAGCTGGTTAAGCTTTAAAGATGAGTGACTAACTGAAAATGAAAACCTCTACTGTGCTGTTTCTGAATTTATCAGAGCCCATGTAATATCACTCAGATGATGAAAGAAGATAAAATTCACCAAGTATCTCAATGATTAAATGTACATGCATAAAAAATTAATAGTAGTTGTCTGACGTTCGTGGTTGGGATTAACTGGTACAAGGCTAAATTAATGGGCATTCTTTTTTGTATTTTCTGGATTCTTCCATAATGAGGATACATTACTCTTTTATAATTTTTTAAAAATCATTAAAAATACGTGATCCCATCTTTCTGGCATCATGGCAGAGTGAGCTTGCCCAGGACTCTCTCCCCTCCAACATACAACAAAAAGGAGCAACCATATTCCAACAGAAAATATCCTAATAGCACAGGAATCCTCAGAGAGTCACAGCAGCCAAACGACAGAGAGTGGAGAGGCTGCAGCCCCTCTCAGAGGAGCTGGACCCAGGTCAGAGAGAACTTGACTCCCTCCCCTAATGACTGGGATCGTTTGCGTGGGAGGCTCTGTAAGGCAAAGAGTGGGGGAAGGGTTGTGCATCCACAGGATCACCCAGGACTCCCTAGCACCCTTGGATCCTAGATGGAAGCCCTCTAATTGGGTGAAAGCTTTCACGTGGGGTGACCTCATCAAGCCAAGACCCCAGGAGGCCAGACAGCCAGAGCTGACCGGAACGGGGTCTGCACGCAAAAGAAAAAGCACCCCGCCCTGTGCCACGCAGTCATGACTGTAGGTCGAGGGCTCAGAATATGTGCCTCTCGACCCCCGTCTAGTGGTGATAGGCTGTAACTGCAACCAAATAATATCACAATGGGCAAAACCCGTACTTCCAGCATCAAACAGTTCCTCAAAGCTCCAGACCAGAGGAAAAACAATAAGTGTCCAGAATTATGTCCTGAGGACTCAGAAATAAGTAAACTAAGCAATAATGAATTCAGAATAGCTATCATCAAAAAACTCAATAAGGTAAAAGAGAATATAGAGAAACAATTCAATGAGTTCAGGAGCTACTTCACAAAAGAGATTGAAACTATAAAGAAGAACCCATCAGAAATACTAGAGACAAAAGACACAACAGAAGAGATAAAAGAAAACGTGGATTCCCTGAATGCTCGTGTGGACACCATGGAGGAGCGAATCAGCATAATCGAAGACGGACATCTTGAATGACTCCAGACAAAGGAGGAGAGAACTGAGACTAAAAAGAAATGAAGAAAGTCTCCGAGAAATATCTGACTCAATGAGGAAATGCAACATAAGAAATATAGGTATCCAAGAAGGGGAAGAGAAGGAGAATGGAGCAGAAAGCATGCTCAAAGAAATAATAGCAGAGAATTTCCCATGTCTAGGGACTGAGAGAGAAATGTGTGTGGAGGAAGTTTTCAGATCTCCTAGATTTGTCAATGTAAAAAGACCTACTGCAAGGCATATAGTAGTAAAACTGGCAAAAGTGAACGACACAGAAAGAATACTCAGGGCAGCAAGGCAGAAGAAAATAACCTACAAAGGAACCCCTATCAGACATTCAGCAGATTTCTCTGCAGAAACCATACAAGCTAAGAGAGAATGGAATGACATACTCAAAACTTTAAAGGATAAAAATCTTCAGCCAAGAATACTCTATCCAGCAAAAATATTCTTCAGATATGAGGGAGAAATTAAATCTTTCCCAAACAAACAAAAGCTAAGAGACTTCGTAGCCATGACATCCCCCCTACAATAAATCCTCAAGAAGGCCTTCATACCTGAAAAAAGATAAAAAGGGAGAAAGGGGTCACAAAATACAGAGTAAAGAGACAGATAGAATCAGAATATGATAACAAATATTCAACTATAGCATTAAGCTAGAGGGAAGGAAAACACCAAAAACAAAGACAATCTTGTCACTTTAACCACCAACTCACAACACAAGTTGGAATAAGATATGAAAATAATAACTTAGGAGGGGAGGAGGAAAGGGACTGAATCAGTGTAGACTAACAAAATAAGAGGTCATTGGAAAATGGACTATGTTATGCACAAGATTCTGAATACAAACTTCAGGGTAGCTGCTGAACTAAAAAGCAGAACAGAGACACAAAAAATAAATAAGGAAAAAAACCTGAGAAACACAGCATAAGAAACTGCAGAAATCAATGGGTAGACCAAAACACACAGGACGAGAAACAAAGGAAATGCAGGAAAACCAGAAAGCGAGTGATAGGATGGCAGCATTAAGCCCTCATACATCAATAATCACCGTCAATGTAAATGGATTTAACTCTCAAATAAAAAGATACAGAGTGGCAAGATGGATTAAAGAACAAGATCCAACAATTTGTTGCCTCCATGAAACACACCTCAGCTCCAATGACAAATACAGGCTCAGAGTGAAGGGGTGGAAGAGGATACTCCAAGCTAATGGCAAACAAAAGAAAGCAGGTGTCACAAGAGTTATATCAGACATAGCAAATTTCAAGATAAGGCAGGTAAAGAGAGACAAAGAGGGGGAATATATAATGATCAAAGGGACACTACATCAAGAAGAAATAACATAAATATCTATGCACCCAACACAGGAGCACCAAAGTTCATAAAACAACTATTAACAAACCTAAGAGAAGATATAAAAAATGACACAATAATAGTAGGTAACCTCAATTCCCCACTCACATCATTGGACAGATCATCTAGACAGAAAATCAACAAGGAAAGACTGGAATTAAACAAAAAGCTAAAACACTTGGACTTAATAGACATATATAGAAACTCCATCCAAAAACAGCAGAATACACATTTTTCTCAAATGCACACGGAACATTCTCAAGGATAGACCATATGTTGGGAAACAAGGCATGCCTCTACAAATTAAAAAATTCAAATAATAACAAGCATCCTCTCCGATCATAATGCTATACAGCTAGAAATTAATTACAAGAAAAAAGCTGAGAAAGGGACAAAGATGTGGAGACTAAACAATATGCTATTGAACAAGCAATAGATCATTGAAGAAATTAAAGAAGAAATCAAAAAATATCTGGAGACAGATGAAAATGATAACATGCCATACCAACTCATTTAGGATACAGCAAAGGCTGTATTAAGAGGGAAATTCATCGCAATACAGGCACATCTTAACAAGCAAGAAAAATTTCAAACAAGCAATCTCCAATTACACCCAACTGAATTAGAAAAAGAAGAACAAACAAAGCCCAAAGTCAGCAGAAGGAGAGAAATAATAAAAATCAGAGCAGAAATAAATGCTATTGAAAGAAAAAAGACAGGAGAAAGGATCAGTGAAACACAGAGCTGGTTCTTTGAGAAGATAAATAAAATTGACAAACCCCTAGCCATACTTACAAAGAAAAAAAGAGAGAAAGCTGAAATAAACAAAATCAGAAATGAAAGAGGAGAAATGAAAACAGACTCCACAGAAATATAATGGATTGTAAGAGAATACTATGAAAAACTATATGCCAACAAAATAGATAACCTAGAGGAAATGGATAAATTCTTAGACTCCTACAACCTCCCAAAGCTAAGCCAAGAAGAAGCAGACAATCTGAACAGACTAATCACAAGGAAAGAGATTGAAACAGCCATCAAAAGCATCCCAAAGAATAAAACGCCAGGACCAGATGGCTTTCCGGGGAATTCTACCAAACTTTCAGAGAGGATTTAATACCTATACTTTTCAAGCTACTCCAAAACATTAGGGAGGATGGAACACTTCCTAACACATTCTACGAGGCCAGTGTCACTCTGATACCAAAGCCTGACAAGGACACCACGAAAAAGGAGAACTACAGGTCAATATCACTGATGAACATAGATGCAAAAATTCTCAACAAAATTTTGGCAACCTGAATTCAGAAATTCATCAAAAGGATCATACATCATGTTCAAGTGGGATTCATACCAGGGACACAGGGATGGTTCAACAACCGTGAATCGATCAACATGATACACCACATCAACAAATTGAGGAAGAAAAACCACATGATCAGCTCAGTAGATGCAGAGAAAGCATTTGACAAGATCCAAGAATGATTTATGATTTAAAAAACCTCTTAACAAAATGGGGATAGAAGGAAATTACCTCAACATAATAAAGGCCATATGTGACAAACCCATAGCCAACACCATACTCAATGGGCAAACACTGAGGGCCATCCCCCTGAGAACAGGAACGAGACAAGGATACCCTGTATCACCACTCTTATTCAATATAGTACTGGAGCTTTTGGCCAGAGCAATAGGCAGGAGAAAGGAATAAAACGAATCCAAATAGGGAGTGAAGAAGTGAAACTCTCACTGTTTCCAGACGACATGATCTTATATATAGAAAACCCCAAAGAATCCATTGGAAAACTACTAGAAATAATCAACAACTACAGCAAAGTTGCAGCTTGTAAAACCAACTTACATAAATCAGTAGTATTTCTATACTTTAATAAACAACTAATAGAAAAAGAACTCAAGAATGCAATACCATTCATCATCACAACAAAAAGAATAAAATATGTTGGGGTGAATTTAACTAAGGAAGTGAAAGACTCATACAACGAAAACTACAAGACTTTCCTGAAAGAAACTGATGATGACATAAAGAGATGGAAAGACACTCCATGCACAAGGATTGGAAGAATAAACTTAGTTAAAATGTCCACACTTCCTACAGCAATCTACAGATTCAACACAATCCCAATCTGGATCCCAATGACATTCTTTACAGAAATAGAACAAAGAATCCTAAAATTCATATGGGGCAACAAAAGACCCCGAATTGCTAAAGCAATCCTGAGAAAACAGAACACAGCTGGAGGCATCACAATCCCAGACTGCAAAACATACTACAAAGCTACAGTAATCAAAACAGCATGGTACTGGTACAAAAACAGGTGCACAGATCAATGGAACAGAATTGAAAGCCCAGAAATAAAACCACACATCTATGGACAGCTAATCTTTGACAAAGGAGCTGAGGGCCTACAATGGAGAAAAGAAAGTCTCTTCAACAAATGGTGCTGGGAAAATTGGAAAGCCACATGTAAAAGAATGAAAATTGACCATTCTTTTTCACCATCCGCCAAAATAAACTAAAAATGTATCAATGACCTAAGGGTGAGACCTCAAACCATAAGGTTTCTAGAAGAAAACGTAGGCAGTACACTCTTTGACATCAGTATTAAAAGGATCCTTTCAGACACCATGTCTTCTCAGACAAGGGAAACAATAGAAAGAATAAACAAATGGGACTTCATCAGACTAAAGAGCTCCTTCAAGGCCAGGGAAAACAGGATTGAAACAAAAAAACAACCCACCCACTGGGAAAAAAATATTTGCAAATCATATATCTGACAAAGGGTTAATCTCCATAATATATAACGAATTCACACAACTCAACAACAAAAAATCAAACAACCCGACCAAAAAATGGGCAGGAGACATGAAGAGACATTTCTCCAAAGAAGATATTCGGATGGCCAATAGGCACATGAAAAGATGTTCATCATCACTGATCATCAGGGAAATGTAAATCAAAACTACACTAAGATATCGCCTTACACCCATTAGAATGGCAAAAATAACCAAAACAAAAAGTAACAAATGTTGGAGAGGTTGTGGAGAAAAAGGAACCCTCATGCACTGCTGGTGGGAATGCAAATTGGTGTAGCCACTATGGAAAACAGTATGGAGATTTCTCAAAAAATTAAAAATAGGAATATTATATGACCCAGCCATCCCACTACTGGGTATCTAGCCAAAGAACTTGAAATCAGCAATTCCAAAAGTCCCATGCACTCCTATGTTATTGCAGCATTATTTACAATAGCCAATACATGGAAGCAACCTAAGTGCCCATCAACTGATGATTGGATAAAGAAGATATGGTATATATACACAATGGAATACTACTCAGCCATAAAAAAGGGTAAAACCGTCCCATTCACAACAACATGGATGGACCTTGAGGGTATTATGTTAAGTGAAATAAGCCAGGTAGAGAAAGACAATCTCTGTATGACTCCACTCACATGTGGAAGTTAAACCTGTAGACAAAGAGAACAGATTAGTGGCTACCAGGGAAAAGAGGGTTGGGGGGTGGGCACAAAGGGTGAAATGGTGCACCTACAACACGACTGACAAACAATAAAGTACAACTGAAACTTCACAAGGTTGTAAACTATCATAATCTCAATAAAATTTTTTTAAAATAAAAAATAAAAACCAGAGGATTCTAGAATGGCAACATCAAAAAAAAAAAAAAAATGTGGTCCGAGGTATTCTCAGGTGATTCTATGAGAAGATTAGTGTTGGGGTCAATCCTGTTTTGTTTTGTTGCAGATATTTAGAGTCTGGAGTTTCACAAATTTAGGCTTGAATCCAATCTCTGCCACTTAGTAGCTCTCTAATCTATAAATGTCCCTGGTATTCCAGGGCCGTGTTCACAAGGTCCCCACCCAAGTCAGCAGAACCTCCTTGCCTCCCAGCCTCCCATCAGTCTACTAAAGGCCTTACCAATGATGACCAGGAGGAAACACAGAGTGGCTACACCTCCTGTTATGTAGAACAGGATGCTGATGTGGTAGGCAAGCTCGTCCCGGTCTTCAATGTTGGGTACCAAAAGAGGAGGGACCAAGAATCCAAGTCCATTTCCAAGCTATAGAAGACAGAGACAATCAATCACAGTTACCAATGGCCAAGAGATGACAGCACAAATTTAAAGAGACTCCTAATAAGAAGCAAAAATCCCAAATTCCAGTCCTTTTTAACACCCAAACAGGATGCTCCCTTAACCCCCCCTTAAGACACCAGAGAGATCTCTCTTTTGATTGACAACTCAACTCACGTACCCCTGACCACTCTCACTATCAATACCTATTGAAAAACATTATGGTTGGGGATCTCAATGCAGACTGGCCCTTCTATAGCTGTAAAGTAATGAATAGTGGTTACTACACTCCCATCTGTATGATAGAGTAAAACAATGTTGATTTGTTTTCCTACCACTTAAATGCTTGATTTCAGTGAATCTGTTACCCTGGAGCTGAGAGACCAGCTGAGGGAAAAGTTCTACACCCAAAACCACAAGAACTTACATTCAGTAAGAGATGGAAGCCTCAGTTCTTACCACATTTACAAACATGACAGCTTAAGTTCACTGTGTAAAGAACTTAGTGATTTATAAAACATCTGTAGTGTGAAGTCACATGCAACTGCATAAATTTATACACACAGGACATGGACACATGCAAACTGGATATAAACACACATACACACACACAACACACACACACACGTGCACGCACCAACAGATTAAAACATCTCATATCTGCGTAGAAGTTCAAATTCCAGGGACCTGACAGATAACGTGAGGTGGGTGTTTCCGAGGTCAGAGATGCCTTGATTCAGTAGTGACTAGCTGTCATATGACTCCCAGAAGCCCTTTTGCCACACGTAACACCAAGGCAGAAACTGGAAAATAACCTGAGAACCCAGGCAAGCCTCAGATTCTAAGAGTGAAGCAAGATGAGTAGGTCTTCTGTCTTAAGGTGCCACTTCTCCTTTATTGTATTTGAAAGGACCTGCAGGTAGAGAAGCAATTTGCTTTCACGCCACATTGTACGCAGGTTCTAGGTACTTCCACTTTAGGCATCTCTGCCGCAAGCATTTCACTGCAAACATTTTTGCGGCATATCTAATTTTTCATAATGCAACTTTGCTGTAAGAGATAACATAACTGATTGAGAGTTTGGTTTTAACTGTTTGACAGTTTAGTTTCATTTCTTCATGGACACAGTATTGCCATGTTATATTATATAAATCTTAGCTCCACATTCCCGTAGAACTTTGGGACGTCTATCAACAGACATGTGACAATATGCCAAGAACAAACAGTGTAGACGGCTTTTCACAAGCAATTCAAAGCTCAGTTACAAATATGCATCCTATGGAAACTGATATCTCTCTTAATGAAGGAGCACATTTTAGTGAAAAATAAAAAGTGTGATGGATGCCGAACAAGGAGACCAATCAACAAGCAAAAAAAAAAAAAAAAAAACGTAGACTACTATGAATGAAGGACTTTGAAGACAAGTGCTTAGGCCCAACCCACAAAATAAAGTCAGTTATTTGCACAGTATTGCCATGAATCTATACACATTTTAAATGTATTCAAATATTTTGTATTTTGAAAGTCTTTAATCTTGTTATTCATTTTTCATGTTTCATTATGTCCCTCTTTTATTTTTTGTGATTTTTTTATCTCTTACAGCAAAACTGTCCTATGACCAATTAGTTACGTGGCAAAAGTGCTTGCAGCGAAGATGTCTACAGCAACGATGCTTATGGGAAAATATCAGACATACACAACACCATTCAGCAGCTGCCAATCTGTTGACTGTCTACACTGGTCTTCCAGCCTGTCAATTACACCCACTCAGGATGGTCACTAGTGGTCCTCAGCTCTGGAATATTCACAAAAGTCACCATCAATAGGCTCAGTATAGGGTTCTTCCGATGTATGCCAGTATATAATCGACAAATCAAACCGATCTTTAAAGCATCTCCTATGTGAAAAGTGTTCTGCTAGATTTTAGGAGGCACCAAGACATATATGGCAAGGTTCTTGCCTTCAAGGAGCTTTATATTCTAGGGGGGCAGGGGGCATTTAAAATGAAGATACAAAAGATAACATAAATGGAGATATTTGTGGGTTGAAATTATAGAATATTATAGTTTGAAAGTTCCTTTGTCATCCTCTACTACAACCGATTATTAGTGGGACAAACGGAGGCTAAGTGAGGCTAAACTCTAGAGGTTAAGTGACTTGTTGAGGTCACGCACACAGAGTTGAGGTGATAAAACAGATATCCTGGCTTCTCAAGCCAGTGCCTCCTCCACTGGGCCTGGTGGTGCCCTCTGGGACCAAGGGCCTTAAGAAAGGCCCAGGTGAGCAGGCTTCTCCAGAAGAGAAGATACTTCACATCCTCGGATCTGTATCCAATCATACCTGGCCTTAGCCTAAGCACTTCAGAGTCGGAGATCTAGAAGTTAAATAGAATGCCCAGGGTCCCTGTGGCAAGAATGAGGGAAGATATAGGACATCACCCAAGGCTCTTTCATTCTTTCATCCCCAAAGGACCCTGATGTAGGATAACCTAATCTGCAGGAATCTTCTGCCCCGAGAAATAAGTCCTCCCACCTGGCTCTACACTGCCTGCCCGAACCCTCAGAGGCGTCTACACACCAAGGCTGAGTGAGTTTCATTCCACCTCAAGTCCAGCACTGAAGCCTTCTCCAGCCAGCAGGACCAAGCAGCCAGCCACAGGGGCCCAAGGTAACCCTGTTCAGATAGCGACGCTGTCTCAAGTGACCTTTCTTCAGGAGGAAATTGGTGTTGGAACTACTTTCATGCACAATGCAGAACACCAAAACATAGGGATTAGACTGCAGACTGCTGTCTCTTTTGTTTTTTCAAGACTTATTTTTTTACTTTTTCTTGAGAGCCGTGTTCAGTGAGAATGTATGGATGTACTCCCAGCTCCCAGTTCCTAAGTCTGTTCCTTAGCAGGCGCTCAGTCATGTGGCTGGACATATGGACAGATGAACACTGGTGGAAAATTTTGTCTACTCAAAGCTGACCATATCATACAGGTCTGCCCATGGCGGGTCCATGTTCTATCTACAAACCAAATAGTAGAATCAACTGTGAAATGGTAAGGAAAAAAATGTGTACAGGGGAGAGTTGGGAGAGGGTAGGATGGCCAACCATTTCTTGAGCATCTACTATGCACCAGGTATCTAATATAATTTATCATTTTTATTTAACCAAAGAAGCTTACAACACAGACAAAAATGAGGGAAACGGATGGTCAGCACCCTGTCCAAGGTCACACAGGCAGCTAGCAGAAGAGCTGAGCCCCTAAACCAGTTCTGTCTGACTCCAGAACCTGAGTTCACCTCCCGCCTCCCATGAATTAGTGTGATATTAGTCAACACAGAAGCCTATATTTTCACCCATTTGAGCTCTGGCAAGCACTCAATAGGACACCACCTGGGTAAAACTCAGAAACCTTCCAAGAGGGTGATATTGCCATTATGGTGGAGTAAGCTGTTCCCTTAGTCTCTTCCCTCCAAGACATAACCAAATGGATATTCATTAAGCAACAGAGGATTCCCTAGAAAGAACACTAGGATGTCTGAGATTCATGCAGCCACACATCTGAAGATGGGGGTACTGGATACCTGGGAAGCAGTGGAAATAGGTGACCAGATTCCCTTCCCCACCCCAGTGGCAGCAATGTAGATCACAGATCCTCACACATCAGCCGCCATGCAACTGTAAGAGGAGGCAGGGGAGCAGGCAGGCCTACACCTGAACACTTTCACTTTTGGAATTGCAGTCAGCCAGTGAGAATGTTCCACATTCACTGTCGTGGCTAAGCCACCACACAGGCACCCCTACCTTGCACAGCAGCTGAGGTGTACTGCCTGTGAATGCAGAGTGGGCCCACACATGTGAAAGAAAGCCCCCCTCCCCTCCTGCCTAGGGCACCATCTCCAACAGTCCCTGGCCAAAGCAGCAGTTCCACACCAGAGTGCCTGTGCATGCGTGTGTGACCTGCCAAGAGGCTGTGGCCAGCAGCAAATGCAGATGAGCCCTATCGATACCACTTCCAGCAGCTACGTAGAGGATTCAGAAAGCACAGCTCCTGCCGCCCCTCCCAGAGGTGGCAGGTGGAATCTGCAACCTGATACAACCACTATGTGCCAGCAAAGGATCACTTCATCAAACACCATGAAGAACTACATTAACGCCTCAGAGCAGAAAGAAAATTACAAGTCTCCAAAAATCAATCCTGAAGTCACAGAAATTTACAGACTAAATGACAGAGAATTCAAATAGTTGTCATAAATAAATTCAATGAGTTACAAGAAAACTCAGACACACTTCAATGAACTCAGGAATAAAATTAATGAGCACAAGGAATTCTTCACCAAAAAGACCAAAACTCTAAAAAAAAAACAAACAGAAATTCTGGAGGTGAAGAACACAATTAATGAGATAAAAACAATCTAGAAACCTTAAAAAACAGAGCTGACATTATGGAGGACAGAATTAGTAAGTTAGAGGACAGAAGTATAGAAATGCATCAGGTAGAGGAGGAGTGAGAAGTTAGACTTAAAAAAATGAAGAAACTCTGAGATATATCTGATTCAATTAGGAAATGCAACGTAAGGCATTCTGAGAGAGAAGAGAGGGAGAAAGGAGCAGTGAGCTTGTTCAAAGAAATAACAGCTGAGGAGCTCCCAAACCTGGGGAAAGAAGTGGACTGACAAGTATATTAAGTCAACAGAACTCCTAATTACATCAATGCAAAAAGACCTTCTCCAAGGCATGTAATAGTAAAACTGACAAAAGTCAATGACAAGGAAAAAATATTAAGGGCAGCAGGCAGAAGAGAATAATCTACAAAAGAACTTCTATCAGGCTTTCAGCAGAAACTTTACAGGCTAGGAGTGTTTGGAATGATATATTCAAATTATGGAAAAACGAAAACTTTCAGCCAAGAATAATCTATTCAGCAAAATTATCCTTCAGATATGGTGGAGAAATAAAAGCTTTCCCAGATAAACAAAAGCTGAGGGAGTTCATCA